AAATTATTCATAAATAATGCTTTTTTTCACTCAAAAAATGAGGTGCCTACTTTCAGATAAATGAGGCCTACGATTAATCAGATGCAAATATAAATACAAAACCAGTCCTAAATGAAAGAAAAGAATTTGACAAAAACATTGAATCCAATCTTTGGTGATAATATAGCATAATGAGTGATTTATAAGCATTTTTTTGAGGCCGGGTAATTTTTGCCCTGGAACATCACAAGTGTAACAAGGTGAACAATCTCCCCCAGAAAAGTATGAAAATTATCAAAACATTTTTTAGAAGTAGTTATACCCTTTGTGAACAAAGTCACAAAATTTCAGTCCAATGCGATAACATTAACTAGTGTTAACTAATTTTTTCAGAGCAAAATGGACCCGAACACCACATGAGGGTTAAATTATACTAACTTTCTTTCAAAGTCACAACACAAAGACTTTCGGCTGCAATCATACCTTGAACTTGTGTGTCATCTTTGGCTTTGTACTCTTGGTTTTTGATGGCCAGTTCCACTCCATATCCAGACAGGTGCACTCTACCTTTGCTGGGGATCTGCATGGGTGACAGAGTATATGGACTTATTCATCTTAAGATGAAAAGATAAAGAGATTCAATACAATGAAAATGATGATTTAAAATACTAAAAGGTTTAATTCTCACCGACAGAAAGTGGCGTAAAACGTAAGTGATCAAGCCTTTGTTGGCTTTGGCCAGCATCAGCTGATGGAATCTGGTGAATTCTTTGGTGCCCAGCTCGGCATAAAGAATCACAACCGGTGCATCGGGACTGGCTGAAGGGAATTTGTGATCGCCTTTGAACAGGTAAGGCTTGGGCCTGAAAATTAATAAATACATATATAATGCAAAAATCATTAAATGCAAACAAAACAATATATAAATAATACAAACAACAAATAAGTAAGTGGGGAAAAAAATCTAAAACATTACAAAGTTTTGGTTGTGTTTGGGTTTGTTGACACTGTCAGTACTTTAGTTTAAATGTATTTGTATAAGGAAAAGTGTAGGATTTAAGTGTTTTAATGCACTCAAGTGTTTAAGTGTTTTAAGTTAAAAAAAGGAGTCTCTAATCAAAGGGGACATGAAAACTGCATGCTCAATACATATAATACAACATGAAAAAGCCTCTTTACATAGATTTAGATGTTAGTCTAACTGTTAGACATGCAAAATTCTAAATGGCTAGATTATTGTGCTAAATTATTTATATGTTTCTGTGGAGGCATCATAGTTTCAAAAAAACATTTAATTACTGAAATTTGAAATACCTTATTTGCTTTCTGTTTGTGTCCTGATTAGCAACATTTTCATGCATACCCAAGAGAGTACTTATTTACTTATTTATTTTGTGAGTCACTCCACCAGGCTTACTCACTGGTGGCAAAAGTGACATTTGCATGCTCAATACATATAATACAACATGAAAAAGCCTCTTTACATAGATTTAGATGTTAGTCTAACTGTTAGACATGCAAAATTCTAAATGGCTAGATTATTGTGCTAAATTATTTATATGTTTCTGTGGAGGCATCATAGTTTCAAAAAAACATTTAATTACTGAAATTTGAAATACCTTATTTGCTTTCTGTTTGTGTCCTGATTAGCAACATTTTCATGCATACCCAAGAGAGTACTTATTTACTTATTTATTTTGTGAGTCACTCCACCAGGCTTACTCACTGGTGGCAAAGTGACATTTTTGTGGAACATTGGGAAATGTAAATGTTTTTTCATTCAAAAAAAAAAAAAAGTGGATAATGTTTCTTAATGTTGGAGGGGAGGCTACAACAGGTCTTCGTTTTACTCACCGTTCTACGGCATTATCCAGCATGACTTTAAGTCTTTCTGTATCACAAGACGTCTGTCCATGTATATTGAAGAACGCTTTACAGCCCGGTGGAGGAGGCTCATTAGAGGCGATCTACATAAACAAACGGAGTCAAACATGATTTCTCCAGATTCACATTAAACAGCTGTGGAGAGGTCCTACTCACCTGCTGGAAGGAATGGACGGTGGATGAGTAGGCCCTCAGAGACAAAGCCAACTTCAGCAGGTTTAGCTGGACTGGGCTCAGCAGCACACTGGCTCTCTTCAGGATCAGATCGTAGTATGCCAGATCCGTGTCTGAAATATGGACAACAATCTGGTAATCTGATTGGCCAACAGCATGTCAAGAGCATCGACACAAATACTGGTGCTATTGGAACTATCTTCATTAACCGCAAGTAACTTGATATTATTGTTTTTGCATAACATACCACAGCATAAAAGTATACATTATTTTAATATATGATATTCAATACAACAGCATTTCCTTAAATACAAAGGGTAACAGCTTCATAAAAATAGGCAAACATGTTGACAAGCCTCAGCATGTCTAAAAGGTGAAAGTAAAAGATGGGATTCAGATCAAATATTACCATCATGGTCACTTTCAATATTTTGATTGGCTTCCACAAAGTCCCAAAACTTGTCCTGACTCTCTTCAGCAAGGAACTCACTGTAGAACATTATAAAGGCATCTTTTATTAGTAGTAAAGTATAGCGTAACACTATATATTAAACATGCGGTCATCATCGTGTGTTCAAGGCAAGCTAACCTGGCCTCCAGCAGGAGTGGTGTAGAGGGCCATTTAGTGGTCAGTGTTGTTGTGACAGCTTTTGAGTCACTACTGAAACATTGGACAGAGCCCAGAGCCAGCAGTGCAGCACACAACATCCACATTTTCCCACAAAAGCCTGAGAAAATAAAACAGTTTAGTCTCTGCTTGAGGACGGGACTCACTGGTAATGGTACACCACTAATTCTATATATATATATATATATATATATATAGGTTAAACACTTCAAAAAGAAAGTGAAACAAACGTTGAATCTGTCCTCTTTTTATCTACATCAAATTAGAACAAACTGACATAAAATACTTGCAAACTATAACCATAAAACGCGTAAATATATATCAAGACAGCCTTCATATGTTTCTGCATTGTTTGTATTTCTCTTCATTTGACAGGTTGAAGAGGACAGCGCGACTTGACTCTCAGCCAATCAGAGCACTCATCGTGGACATTACGATTAGCTTCATCCAATCAGCGTTCTCGTCGAGCAGGACTTCCGGGTTCTTATTAACTTCCTGCATTATAACAAAATCTTTCAAAGCATATTTTAGGAGGATGAATTCATTTTTACTGGCATCTAACTGGCACTCAGACCGAATTTAAATGCACCAAGTATAAACAAGTAGTATGTGTCTTATATAATCATAATGCGAAGGATTGGAATTCGATTTTTACAGGTTATGAGAATGAGCTGCGACTGAATTCAAATACTCTTAGAACACAATAACCAGAAAATTATCTTAAAAAGAAGAATCCATCGTTTATATGAGCTCACTTCTCTGTGTAGCGCATTGGCAGTCCTTATAACTATGCAAGGATGACTAATCACAAACATTTGCTTCGTCCCAGTGGCTAAATGCATTAAGTGACGTATTCATACACACTATCATTGAAATAAATGCAACGCGACAGAATTATGCTGAGAATAAAGTAAGCAACCATACCAGCACCGGCTTCTAAGTCTGCTTCGTGGGTTGCCATGTTTGGACGGTACAAGTGTGGTCCACCCCACGGTTCGTGTGTAGGCTCTGCACTCTGTGCCTTTCCAGAAATATAGCTTGAAGTATACGCAAAATCACATATAATATTATAAGCGCCGCATTAACAACAACATTAATAAAAAAGAATATCGCATTGATTATAAAAAGTCAGGAATTTGATTAAAGACAACAACATAATGCAATGTTTTTACCGGCTATGTGTTAGACAGCTAAGTGGTCATAGGCGCCATTTTGGCTCAAGAAGAGCACACAGGAGCTTTTAACTCAGATTTTAAAGGGAAGGAATGGAAACTGGCTTTGTTGTGATAATGCGATCTGACTGCAAGATCTTTCTGTTTTTTTTTTTGTTTTTTTTTCATAGCACTAATGAGTATGATGCCTGTTTTTATGTTGCTTCTATTTTGAATTTTTTATTTTTTTTTACAGCGACCTCAGTGTAATACATTTCTATAGGTAAGCCATATATGGTATTTATTGTCTTTGGGTAGATTCCATGAATATTCAAGCTTATATTTGCCTAATTTGTGTACAATTATTTTCAAAAATATACTGTAAATTTATTTTTAAATTAACTTTTTTTGTCACTTAGCCTACACTTTTAGCCAACTATAAATTGGGCCATGTACTGTTTCTACTGAACACATTATGTGGTAGAACAGAGTTACACTTACATTGTATCTTTTATAACGGAAAAGAACCCCACATCTCATTAATAGACAGTTCATTCCATTAAATTACAAAATCGGGATCTGTAACTCATTAACTTTAACGCACCTAAATGACAAGTAGTAGGCCTAACTCAATGTCCCATGGGAATATTTAGCCTAAACATAGGGGTTGAATGAGTTGGTTTCACCTATAATTGTCCCCTTTAATTTCCCACCACTGCATGACACATTCAAACCAGGACAATAAAGAGAAGCTATAATTCAAACAATGATGCTATAGTGGATTTTGATCTTCATTTAAAAAAGATAGGGCTTTATGTTTTCAATACACTCAGTTGCAAACTTTTTAAACTTGGCACGTCTGGTTTCATGAAGTAACACGAGACTCTCATTGTGAATATTTGATTCTCAATCATCTTGTCAGAGGAAATATCCATCTAGACTTTAATATACGTTGCCCTCTTGGGATTCATAAAGTTGTATTTTACATCTTTATCTTGCGTTACAGATGATGCTTTCAGGCTGTTAACAAAAATCGGAAACTTTAATTGGGAAGATTTTTTATTAGCAGAATGCTACTACATCAAACAAAAGACTAATTGCACAGCATCATGAGACATGGCTGCCAAGCCTTAGGCTATTCTCTTTTTATTATTTGCCTATTTTTCCTGTTTTTCCTGTTTCTATCAGCATGAGAATGAAACAGCCTGCAGAGATGCTCTGATACTGCTAAATAGTTCAATGCCACTGCTGGGTCAGATGTCAAAATCCATGCTCTGTTTATCAATATTGGACATGATTGGACACCCTGGATCTGTTTGGCTATTACCACCCAAGCTCAAACTGACAAGGGCATGCTTGATGTTTCAGCCGGATATTTATACATGCTTCCATTGGCCTTTCTTGTGGTAGAGCCACACAACCTGTGACGGTGTGGCAGAAATTGCATGCTCCGGCATCGAATTAAACTGTAGATCAAGTGTGACAGGTCGAAGTGCGCTTCTGAGGGGACAGGAAGCCCTGGGTGCTTTATGGGGTCAAGGTGGCTCCATTATGCATTAGCCTGTGGACAGAAAAGAGAAAATTCTAGTGCAAAGCCGCCCTCCTCTTGCCACAGTGGCTGTTAACCTTTCCGCTGGAGCGCCTACCTTTTATATCCGAGGGGGGCTGCTCATAAAAATCAATTACCCTGATTAGGAGATGATTTGCGGAAGTCCTTCAAAGCCTACAATGAGAGAAAATGACAGCATGATACAGAACTGAGTTTAATATTCTGTGCGACTGTAACATTTCCGAGAACGATCCATAAAATTAATGTCGACTTTCGCAGCTAAATTCCTCTGGAAGTGCTGTGGAGAAACACTTGAGAAACAGTTTTCGAGAGGAATAACAATCGAGTTTGAAAGCTTTTCAAGATGTGACATCATGTTTCCATGGCACTGATTTATATTTCCCGGAGCTAAATGATATGTCTCGCCTTTAAAAGTCAAGTAAGGACCACACACATAAAAGGTGAAATGGCCACGTCAGTTCCACATCATCCCCTCTGTGCATTCAAATCAGCCATAAGCTAAGAAGCGAAGAGCACTCGTAACGTAAATTACAGCGGCAACTGATGACTAATGATTATAGATCAGTGCCACTAAGACCTCATTTACTCTTGAGTTTTGAATCAAGTCCTTTGAGCTGAATTTTGTGATACAATCAGGCAGGAACCGCTTTAGATGTTGAGAGGGATGTGCTGTTACCCCCTCAATATTCAAATATTTAGTATTGAACCGATCAGAGTTATTATTGTTAACTAAAACCACTTAAAAAAAAACATTTTGAACATTAACTCAATATATGAATATATAATCGATAAAAATAAAATATATATAAAAATGTCAACATATTTTCATATTTTATTTCACCTAGGCAACAAGGCAAAACGTTCAATTAAAAGTTAAAATCCTAAAATAACTACTAAATAAATTAATCTAAAATGTGTGTGTGTGTGTGCATTGTTTTTAGTTAAAATAAATTTTTTATTTTTAGTTAACTAAATCTAATAAACTATGTAAGTACTAATAAATTACTAATAAACACACACACACACATGAAATGACTAATAAAAATGAGAAAACAAAATTATTAAAATGAAAAAAAAAAACTAAATCTAATTAAAATACTAACAAAAACTATAATATATCAAT